TCCAATGAGGAGTTTCTTCCACCTCACTTTCTGGTCTTTAGAAATGACAGAAACAGCCGGGGAGGTGGTGTTTTACTTGCAATTAGGGACTACATTCCCTGTTCCATCATTCCCTCCCTCCCCCCAATCTGGAAGTTTAGAGCTTAAAGCTAGCCTACTTGGTCTACTTGAAGTTCACATTAGGCCGGGGCGAGCCTTGACTGCCGGCCAGACAGATGGCTAAATAATAAGGAATTCCATGGTGAGTAGTAGAGTTATGGTGCAGGGGTGTAGCCAGGGGGGGGCAAGGGGGCAATTGCCCCCCTTTTTCAAAATCAAAATTTAAAAATAATAAAATAATAAGTTGCTTTTGGAAGGAAAAGCTGTTCTACAACTTACACATGAAAGGAAAAGGCCAAAGCAGCCTTTCTATGATGCCATTATAAAGCTGAAAAGGTATTCAATGTTGCCTATGATCGGTCAAGAAGTCTGCCATGTTGAAAAATAGGTGTGGTTACGCCCCAAAAGGGCGTGATTATTATTTAGCCATTTTGTATGTAACAATAATGAATACTTAAGTATTCATTATTGTTACATGTCCATGCATTATTAATGCTCAAAGTGGGCGTATATGGGAAGGAAACTATGAATTTAATTGGAGTGACCTGTATCATATTCTTGTTTCTCTATTCTCATTAAATTTCCCAACCATATGCTATGATACCAGATACCATATACAACATTATTATACAATGTACATATACTTATTCTTTTGCTATGCATTGATACCAGAAGAATTTTCAGCTATTTAAATATTTTGTACTCCTTGGCTACAACCACACCTAGATTGACAGCAAAGGATCATAGGCAACATTACGGAGAACTAAAATTCCTTAACATCATCATTTAAAATTATGTGAGCTTTATTATACATCATGATGAGGCTCACGTGGTGTTAATTTTAAGTGACTTCTTAATACCATATAGGACAAATTGTGACTTAGCAATAAATTAAAAATCAAGAATCAAACTGCATTGATGAACATAGCAGACGTTGCACGTGTGTATTGGAATTTTTGTGTACTTGTATTTTGAAAAAATAGATTGTGTATTTACATGTACTTCTATCACTTGTCAAATTTTTGTGTATGTACATTTACTTATTGCTTCCCAAATTTTTCTGTATTTTAGTGATTTTTTTCATTTATTTTTCATGTATCCTGTACTTAAATCTTGAATCATTAAAAGGATAATGTCTTCATCACCTTTCTTATTACTGTTTTGATCATCTGCTATTGCTACAAGGACTAAAAGGCTTTTTAAAATTTATGGTTGAGCAAACTAACTGCCATTTTGACTGCTACGTGGACACACCCTTTAATTAATTAATAGTTAATATAAAGACAGGAAAATCGTCTCCTCTACATGTACACAGCCAAGAGTTTGTGATTGAATTATAAATGATGTCAGCCCTGATCCAGCCTAATGCATCCTGAATCATGAGTTTTGGGCAGCTAACATTGCAATGAGCTTAGCCTGATCTACACGTATCAGCCTTGATACAATCTTGCTGGAATTCATACTGGCTCAGCCAGAGCAACATGCAGTCATGCATGATTCAGGAATGATACTTGTCAGACTGTACCAATACTGTAATCAAGCTCTATTCATTGATTTTTGGCAGTCTTGTATCATGTATGCTAACTCTTATCTGTGTACTTATTTTTGGTTCGTGTATATACTTGTATGTACTGGAAAACGTGTTTTTTGTCTAAATACTCATGTAACATGTACATGTATACACAGGAAATTTTTGCAACATAGACAATATGCAGTCAATTAAATTTACTATATTCCCCGTTTTATGATGTTTGATGTGCAATTTAAGCCAACTAATAAATGAACTTTCATTATTCTCTTTCTATTTTTATCACAGGTTCATAACATTCTCGTATGATGACAGTAAGTCATGTCACATGTGAATGTGTAATTTTACTCTTTTCTTCTATGATACCATTGTGATACTTTACTAAACTGTGTTATTCACAATCTTTCAGCCAGTAAGTCACATCACATGTGAATGTGTAATTTTATTCTTTTCTTCTATATTACCATTGTGATACTTTACTAAACTGTGTTATTCACAATCTTTCAGCTAGTAAGTCACATCACATGTGAATGTGTAATTTTATTCTTTTCTTCTATGATACCATTGTGATACTTTACTATATTGTGTTATTTACAATCTTTCAGCCAGTAAGTCACATCACATGTGAATGTGTAATTTTATTCTTTTTTTCTATGATACCATTGTGATACTTTACTAAACTGTGTTATTCACAATCTTTCAGGAAGTAAGTCACATCACCTGTGAATGAATAATTTTATTCTTTTCTTCTATAATACCATTGTGATACTTTACTCAACTGTATTATTCACAATCTTTCAGGAAGTAAGTCACATCACCTGTGAATGAATAATTTTATTCTTTTCTTCTATAATACCATTGTGATACTTTACTCAACTGTATTATTCACAATCTTTCAGGAAGTAAGTCACATCATATGTGAATGTGTAAATTTATTCTTTTCTTTTATGATATTGTGATTCTTTACTAAACTGTGTTATTCACAATCTTTCAGCTTGTAAGTCACATCACATGTGAATGTTTAATTTTATTCTTTTCTTCTATGATACCATCGTGATACTTCACTAAACTGTGTTATTCACATTCTTTCAGAAAGTAAGTCACATCAATTGTAAATGTGTAATTTTATTTTGTTCTTCTGTGCTTAAATGTTGTTGTTCAGCAAAGAGTAAGTTTGAAATAAAGTTTTTTAATGTAATCAACTTTTGCTTCACATTAATAGGACATAGGTTAGTTAAAAATAATCGCTTAGTATATGCTATAAACTCTGTGGAAGATTCACTTTACATGCATCTTGTGAGTACCCATTGATAATTATCATACTTAGGTGCTTATGAGAGAGCTCTCAAGGAGCAAGGAAGTGCTAATGTAGCATACGCTCGTCTTATGTTACTGGGATCAGCTGGTACTGGCAAGACGTCTCTCAAGCGTTCATTAATGGAAGAACCTTTCAATCCTCATACTACAAGCACCATTGTATCTGATGTATCCTCTGTACGGCCATTTGGACACAAGTGGCAAACAATGAGAGAAAACAAATGGAGAGAAGCTACAGAAGAAGATGAAATTGAGGAACTTGAACATTTGTTTAAATCCTTTCAATCTAAACAATCCTCACACTATAGACCTACATTTAGTGCACAATATTCTCATGATGAATTGATTTCTACTGGTTCTATAACTTCCATTTTGGGTATAGAGAGTAGTTTTATCCAATCAATACTAAGAAGAACTACACGTAGACTATTGTTTTTGTCATCATTGTCACAATCAACTGTTCAAGTTAGTCATACTTTAATAGCATTATAAGATAGCTATATTTATCTTTATGTACAGCCATTTCTTCATATATGGGATTGTGGTGGTCAGCCAGTGTTCCTTGAGATTCTCCCAGCCTTCCTCACTCCTCGTACAATGTTTCTCCTCCTGTTTGATGCTTCAAAGGATTTCAGGAAAAGATGGCAGTCACGTCAGAATACTCCTGATGGTAAAGTGCTGTTTGGTGAGGTAGTGAATGAAAGCACGAGTGATCTAATGGCCAAATGGATGTCTACAATACACAGTCACCTCATGAAGCACAACAAAGATAATACCTCTTCTTCTAGTCTCTATTGTATTGGCACTCGTGGTGACAAGTTGAATTCAGAAGGCAAGAAAGAAGTAAAGCAGCAAATGCAGTCCCTGTTTGAGGAGAAAGATTTCTCAGATCTTATCAAAGATGTGCTAATCATTGATAATACGACCTCAGGCAGAGGTGAAAAAGAAGATCCAAGCATCAAAGAATTACGCAAAGTTATTGATGGTTTTATCAAAAAGTTAGTTGTTCCAACCCCTGTCAATTGGGTTCTATTTCGCAAAGTTTATCAAGAGCTAAAGCAGAATGTCATTAGTGCATCTGATGCTATTGCCATTGGAGTGGCATGTC